ACAGCTAACTGTGGTCCTTGGCTTGTTTTTGTATGACCTATGAGCTAAGAATGTTTTTTACATTATTAACAGGTTGTAAAAACAAAGGCAAAAAAGAAGCATCTGCAACACAGACCCTATGTGGCCTGCAAAACCTAAAATATTTACTGTCTGGCCCTTTACAGAAGTTTGCCAAACCCTGTAGTCTAATCCGCTATACTAGACGTGGGCAGATTCAAAATAAGGTCTACTGGAAGTAGTTTCCCAAACCCTTAGTATCATAAGGTGAAACAGTCAGGCTCTGGAAGATGGAGAACTAGCTCTCATACTGGTCGGGCTGTAAAACAAGCAATCATCAGCTAGGGAATCACGGATCTATTGCATTATTTAATAGTTCTCATATAGCGTTCTGCATTTATTTTTTATCATTTGTCCCAGCAGGGGTGGTCCCATCTCACCCTGACACCCACCTGATGCCCCATCCCCTGCTCACTAGGCACCTGACTCCCAAACACTATTCTCAGACTGCCCACAGTCTGCCCAATCTTGGTAGGCCCCAAGGCTTCAAAACTCTCTTTTGTTTGTCCCTCTCCAAAGCTGAAATTCCAGGGTAACTTTATTAAAACATACTCTGGGAAAAAAAAAAAAAAAAAAAGGAACGAAAAGAAAAAATCCCTGATAGCCCAACTTAACTTAACCAAATGTGGAGGAAGAACCATGAGACATTTGGGAGGCAGAGCCCTTTCTCTTCCCTGGATGACCCTGTTCAATTTGCTCAGGCCAGTGTGGAAGAATTTTGTTGCCTTGGCCGCCTGGCAGCTATCCCCCCTTCTTCTGTATTTATAGCACCCTAATATTCCTCTGGGAAAGCATCCCTCCCTGACTTTCAGAACATTTATTTCATATGCTGTTGACTCCACTCTGGGTTCAGGCCAGGCGAGCTTCAAGGATTATCTCAAGGACGAGCATGTGACTCAACAAGAAGCCAATGAGAACCATGCTCGGGGCTTCAGTTCAAACTCTTGGCCGCAAGTCATCTTGCCAACTCGAGGGAAGAGGCCATCTGAGAATGGCACCAGCCTAAAGGAAAGCAGAGTCAAATCATGTGGGGAGACCAGGGTCCTACAGACATTGTGTGAGCCACGGGACTCAGGCCAGTCTGAAGTTAGAACCTCCTTGGGCTTTCCAGCTACATAACAAAATAAATTCCCTTTCTGCTTAAGCAGCTAGGATCGGGTCTTCCCTCCTTCATGCCAGAAAGCGGCCTGTCTGGCACAGAGTGGAGGCACCGTGTCTACAAATGTACCTTACTAAAACCGACTAAAAGGATGGTATTAAGATAAGCTGCATTCATGGCTGGTGGAGTGCCTCACCAAGACTCAGTGCCCATGCTGACGCCAAATGGAGTTTACCTCTCTTCCTCCAGGTGATCAGGGAACGTGGGACTCTCTGACAGACATCAGAGCCTTCTACTGTAACACCGAGTTATCTGATTAGAGCTGCACAGGTAAAACTCTCACAATCAATATTTCCAATTAGTACACTTTTTCTCTTCCCACCCAAAACTAGTAAGCCTCAAGGCCCCTAAGTGAAGAGACGACAGAGGAAAAAAGGCAAAGGGGGATTTACAGTCAGTGGAGTTCTCTTGCTTCTATTATGTCCAGGGTTGCTTGGCAACTGGCCTCAGCCTGGTCATTCCAGTGGACAAGCAGAGGGACGAAAGTCAGACCTCCAGGTCATGCAGCATGTCCTGCTTATGGCCTGGTGACTCAAGGGCAGGGGTGGGCTCGTGCTGCTCTACAAAGCTGGCAGCAGACAGCGACCGAGCACCTGCTGTCTTCAGGCGCTCTCCCACAGGCTTCTGCCTCTCCCACACTGGTCAAACTTCCTTTAACTTCCGCCCTCAGTGAACATAAGCTGTGGATGTTCCCCCAAAACAGATTAAAAATACTCTCAAAAAAGGCTTGATAGGAAAACAGAGTAAAGGTTCTGACACAGAAAGAACTTTCATTCTATTATTTCTTTAAAAAGTAGAAACTACCAAGGAGTGAAAGGGAGATGTCCAGTCAGGAAAACACAAGCCAGCTGGTGTTTTAGGTGGAGGATTTTCTTGAATCCTCCATGACCCTTCTCAGTCCACTGCCACCTCCAAGGATTCCGGCAATGAAAGCACAGCCACAGTGCTCTCTGCCTCTAGATCATGAGAAGTCCACAGGGATGGAGATTTCTGCATTTGGCAACACAGTTTAGTAGTAACTGTGGTACCAGACCCCTAAATGGCCTGTGCACAGCAGGAGAAGGAGGAAGGGACCTGGGTCAATGAGTCTCTAGTGCTTGCATGTCACCAAACAGGTCATCTGCATGTACAAAGACAGACGTGATGCTGTTCCTTCTCGCTCTCTGCCCACTCCTAAATTAAACATCTAAGAATGACTGGCTTTCTGGAGAAAACAGCCCGAGACACGGACAAGAGACTGACTCTCAGGCTTAAATTCTATCTAGCAAGACTCCAGTCCTAAAAGTTAAGACACTGTATGGAAAAAATTGTCTTTTATTGGCTGAATTCCTGTTAAGATCCATTTATCCACATGGAACTATCCAAATAAACTGATATTAAATCTCGTAAAAAGTCACTACAGTGTTTCAGAAAAACCTTCTACAGAAATTATGCCTCGGGGATATCCACTGGAAAAACAAGAGATGTGGTTCCAGGACGAACATGCTGTCAGCAAACAGTACACAGAGGCTGTGAACAAAAGTGGAAAAATTGTTTTTAATCTTTTTAGAGGAAAATGAAAAATAAGTCTTTTGTAATTAATTATGAGGCTTATAATGGGTACCTCCCCACTCATACCACTGTCGCTAAAATAGTTATTGAAACTTAACACCTTTAAATGAGAGAGTATGGAGATACATACTCTAATATTCAAATTCTCTCTTTTTAAAGAAAAAAAATAAGCAAATAGCCTTGTTGATTTAAGAGCTGTAAGTCCATTTCTTCTAGGTGTGAAGATAAGGAAAGGAATCAATTCATAGCAGGTTAACTAGCCAAGCCAAGGAGACGGGGAACCTCCTGCTCAGCGCTACTTATGACAGAGATTTGGAAACATTAGGTTTTTCTTCCCTTTCTCCCATTCAAGAAAGTAAAGAGATAGAGAAAGAGATCCAACAAAATGAGCACAGAGGGATGGGAAGCAAGAAGGAGACTGGTGACAGCATTAATCAACTCCTAGTTCTGATGCCTTTTTTTCACCCCCTTTCTTGAGCTACCCAAAAGGAAGACTGGGTCACTATCCAATTAGAGCAGTCACACATGATCTGCCCACGGTGAAATCTTTAAAACAAAATAAAATCTGAAGAGAGCCAAGGGATGCTTGAGGCTATGAACACTCAGAGGAGCTTTGAGAACACAAAGTGACGTGGTCAAGCTGGACTCTTTGAAGGCACATTTGATATCATTTACTCAACTTGCACCAGGGAATTCAGAGGGTACAAAGTACTACGACAACTAAAACTAAAACAGGTGATGGTATAAAGCAGGGAAGGAAGGGATGGCTACTTAAGACGTTAGATCAGTCCTTTAGGTGGTCAAAGGACTTCTCTGAGGGGACCTGAAGGATGAGAAGAAGCAGATGACCACATCGATACATAAAGATCTGAAGCAAAGACACTCCAAAGGAACAGTAATGGAAAATCCTATGGCCGGAAAGTGCTCAGTGTGTAAGAGGAATTTGAGACCAGTGAAGCTTAAGCACAGAGAGGGAGAAGGACAACAATCAAAGAGGAGACTGACAAGGTAGGCAGAAGCTTGACCATACATAAGCCATGGTTAATGAGTTAAAATTATATTCTGAATGATGGGGCGCCTGGGTGGCTCAGTCAGTTAAGCATCTGCCTTTGGATCAGGTCATGATCTCAGGGTCCTGGGACTGAATCCCACATTGGGCTCCCTGCTCAGTGGGGAGTGTGCTTCTCCCTCTGACCCTCCCCCGCCCCGCTCGTGTGTGCACTCTCTCTCCCGCTCTCTCAAATAAATAAAATCTTTAAAAAAAATTATATTCTGAATGATATGGGAAGCCACTGGGAAATTTGGGATAAGAGTGACTTGATAAGGTTCATGTTTTTTAAAACCTCAGTCTGCCTGCCATATGGGGATAGGTTCTATCTCACCAAGCTCACTAAGGTTCTGGGTGGTCATGACTACAGTGAGTAAAAAAGGTTCTGCCTATGAAAACAGAAAGGAAAAAATATGATCCAGCAGAGTCTCTCCATCAGGTGATAGCTTGCAATTTTCAAAAACCATGGTCACCGAGTGTTGGCCCAGGATACAATATCATTCAGCACCTCAGAGAAGCATTCTCTGATGACATAATGTACACTTACTTCCACCCTCCACTATCCATCACTGTCAATCTCATTTTATGTCCATCGTGGCGCTTTTATCTAAAAGTATCCTGTTAGTTTACTTGTGCAGTTTATATTTTAGAGGGCAGACAAATTAAACAAGAGTCAGAACTTTGAGTTGTTCAGAGCCATGCTCCCAGTATCCACAACAATGCCCTAGTACATAGACGATGTCCACTAAATATTTGTTGCCGGAGCTAATGAAGTCAACACTGTATCTCTACTGCTACTCAAAAGAAACAAAATATCCTACTGGGCCCCAACCCTGGATTCTTTTCTAGGGCAGCTGGCTTCTCCTGGGTTGTTAGGACTAAAATGACATCAGAAATTCAGCAGACATAAGGAGAAAGAAGAGTTCCCTTGTCCTGGATCCCATGATAACCCAGCCTAGATATGTTCTCAGGATGCTCATGCTATTGTTTTCCTCAGAACTGGCCAAGTGTTCAAGTCTGCTGAGAGGCACCAATGATGGAGTGAGATGGGCACAACAAAACCATGAGAGAGGGGAACAGGGCTAATTCATGACCAGAGGATGGAGCTCACCTTCACTTTACAAGTCCTCCACTTCACACCAACATTTATATAAAAGACAACTTTTATATGAACAGTACTACAAGAGGTACTTGTTAGAGTCAAGGAAGAATTCCCTGTCAGAAGTTAGGTGCCTGCTCAAGAAACTGATGGTGTGCACCTCTGGGTGGTGAGGCTGGGGTTGGGATGGGAGGGGTCCCCATGGGATGGGTTACTTTCATAATGGCCTTTGACAAGCCAGCATCCCAGACAGTCCTGAAGAAGCTACGAAATGTTGTGATTGACTTGTTTAAAACCAAGACATCTGGATTAAAGTCAATATAATACTGGCCAGAGTACAAGACTCAGTCTAATTTCTAGAGATAATTGTTAATATATTTTACCTCCAGTGAGAAAGCCAGAGACTCTATGCAGAGACAGCACAAAGACAATTTTTTAAATTTCTGTACGGGTCCTATCTTACCAAAGGTGGCTGCTGTGATTTTGTGCCAGGTGCTTTTCACACTACCTCTTTTAACCCAGAAGATGCTCTCAACTGAGCACTAATATTCCCATTTTATAAATGAGGAAACAGAAGATTTAAGGGATGAAGCTTATATTCCATAGTCAGCAGTTTAGCACCATTTAAGAGTAAAAGGGCTGGCAATGGACCAATGTTCCAATCCTAGCCGCAACATGTTTTAGTTGTCTGAGTTCATTTCACTTTCCATGCCTCAGCGTTCTGGTCTGTAAATGGGGACAGTATTACATACCTCATGAGACTGTTGTGAATGTTCAATGAAATCAAGTTTGTAAAACACATAACAAAAGGGTCTGACACACAATAAACAGTTAAATGGTGATAGCTCTACTATTACTATTATTGTGGTTCAAATAAATTTAACATCATGCTTTCAACATATGGGACTCTTCATTCTGTGGCACTCGAAGAAGATGTCTACTCTTTGTCCCCAAGGTTCTGCTCCATCAGTAGGAGAAAGAGGTGAGCAAGCAGAAAGATGGGATCTACCTCTTAAAGATATGGAAAGAGACATAAGAGCCGCTGATGTAAATTTATCTTATGGAAATAATTATGGCATGTCTATAAGGACAATGATTACAGACTAGTCAACAATCGTGAAAACAAAAAAAGAGAGAGAAACACCAAAATGTCCAAAAGTAAGTCATTAGTTCAGTTAAGTCTTGACACAGCATCCCTGGAACATTACATAGCCACTAAAAACAATCTTAGAAAGCAGTTAATAATATGGAAAGATGATCATGACCTACTGAGTAGGACAGGTTATAAAACCAAAATGAGTATCTCTAATCGGCACTATTGGTGTAATTTGCATTTTCTTTTTTTCCTCATCTGTAATTTCTAAATTTTTGCTGGAGACCATGTATTACCTATATAATAAGGAAAAAAAAAAGTTTGACCTTGGATTGCTTGACTTTTTTTTCTTTTAAATGACTAGCCTATGTCACCAGAAAGACTAGGAAATATATGCCTCAGAAGAAGATAGAGGAGCACCCTGATATTTTGCTGTTAATGGCTTTGTGAACTAAGAAGCGGCAGCTCAGTGGAGGGAGATGTAATAAATCATGTTATCCAGGTCTCACTGAAATTTGTCCAAAATATATTATCCTGGAGATTCTAGATGGAATTCCTGCAAAGACTCAGATATCACACCCAGTTCTCTGACCTATCCCAAATAGGTTTCTAGGTCCCTAATTGGCATTATAAATACATAATTATATCTGGAGCTGTTGAACTAACCCAAATAACATGCTCTCATTCAGTGTCCCCAAATTTATCTTCTTGAAATATAAGTCACTGACCTACTTTGTTAAAGACATTTTTAATAGCACCCTCTACCCCGATGATAAAAAAGGGAACTTGAGGCTTGTATCAGGTCCCATTAGAGAAGCAGAAAATAAGCACCTAAAATGCTCCGGGTTAATGCGGCTGTCAACCAGTGAACAGGACGTTCTGTACCCACCCTGGCTCTCAGCTTGTCCTTTTACCTCTGAAACCTAACACAGGATGTGTAAAAGGAAAAGAGACCCCAGACAATGTTGGGACCACTCCCAACCCACACTTCTTCCTGGTTCTAGAGATTCACAATCACCTTAAATCTGGTGATCTCTTTAGCTTTAATCCCAAAACTCCACAAATCATGTTCAGGTCATTCCCATTTACAAAAGACTTCATTTTTCCCATAACCAAGAGATGGGAGATCAGTCACCTCTTTGGCCCCTTGGAAAGGCCATCTTGGGGTCGGGGAAGGGCAGGCAGTCAAAGAATGAGAGGGAGAAAGCGAAGGGAAAGGAAAAGGAAGGAAGCAAATGAGAGAAAGAGAAAACAGATGGTGAAGAACAAGTTATCTACATTTGGGCTGAAATTTCTTAGAACAATACAAGATCTTTGGTAACTAAGAAGGACTTTCATGTTAAAAGCTTCAACACCCCAAACCATCATCATTTCAGCACATAAGAAACTTACTTATAAACAGCTCCAAAAATTGATAAAGCTGATAAAGGGATAAACCCTCCAAATGCAACTATCCAAATTAGAATATTATTGGAATTTTCTTCTCTATAAGTACAAAAGTTCATCTCTTCTGCTCAAAACAATGCACCTACCTACTACTGGATGTTGGGTTCTTCCTTCCCGCTCTCACCAGGAAACTGCTGTCTCCAAAGCAAGATCAGAACCGAGAGAGAGAGAGACATGATAGAAGAAGTCCTAAACCAAAGACCTGCATGCACTCATTAGCCCTGCTGCACTAGCAAATCTGTCTGAAGGAGAATAGAGAGAAACTGAGTGCCAGATCCAAACATCCTGGCATTGAAATCACAACATTCCTGGGATCTGCAAATTGTCTGGATACACCAAAGGAAAAGGATATGTGGCTTAACAAGATCAAGAAACAAAGCTGACAGGACAGCACCACACTTTAAAATCCTAAAGAAGTGGTTGCCTAGGGCTAGGGGCATGGGAAGAATGGGGGATAATGGCTAAGGAGTGCACAGTTTCTTTGAGGGGGATGATGAAATGTTCGAAAATTAATTGTGGAGATGGATGAAAAATTCTGTGAATATACTAAAAGCCATGAACTGTACACTGTATAAGTGAATTGTGTGGCATGTGAATTACATCTCAACAAAACTGTCTTAAAAAACCCTAAGAAAGGACCTCCAAGGTCTCCACCCACCATTGCCTAACCCCATGCTGGCACATTTGGGGAGCTCGGTAATATGACTGCTTGAGGTGTCACATTAAGAGACATGACTCATCCTTCTCCCGCTTAACATTTCACAAGTTTCTCACTTCAGATAACCATCAAAAAACATTTCATTCTTCTTTCTGAAAGAGACTCAGTTCTCCAGATTCAAGGGGATGGGGGAGATTAAATCCCAACATTCTGAATGCAGACTTATGAAAACAAGCCCATTTCAAGTTATCTTCAGCTGGTGATCATATTCATGCTTGGACTCTGCGCTGCTCCAAGCACAAACCCCAAGCCCTGTTGTCTTTTCATTGCAGTATAGTGTGAAGTTATGCTGGCCAGATGAGCTGGGGGAGATGAAAAGCAAGCCAAAGTCATATCCCAAAAGACACTAAGGCCAAAAGCTCTCGGTTCCACTCCAATTTTCTATGCAATGGAGCAGAGCTTCCCTGCTGAGGAACTGATTACAAGCATGCTGGCTATGTAAAGAGGAAACAGGATTTCTTTCCAAAGAGAGAACCATCTTGTTGCTCTAAATGGAGCTGGCAACATGGTAGCTCACTGACCTTGCATGCTGAGCTCAAGGCGGGCTTCAGTCAGAGGGCCCGGAGACCTCGGTAGGCAAGGCTGTCTGTAGCCTCCAAGGCCCGGCCCGTAGGCCAGAGGCAGCGGGCCACAGCAGGGACAGGGCAAAGCTGCAGGTGCGGAGGCATCCATCCCCAGTGCCTGCCTGGCCTCAATATTGCCTGCAGAGGCAGTTGTGAAGCTAGTGATCTGCTGGATAAGCAGCCCAGTGGTAGGATGTATGTCCAACATCTCAATGCATTAGTCAGATGCAAATGCAAGAAAGCCCTGCCCGTGGAAAAGCAGCCCATGGGATTTCTTAAGAAGCAAACAACAGGGGGAAAGCAGCACTGAGCTCCTCCCAGTGACACCCAGGGGTCTCACCAGCAGCGGCTGTGGTGTGCCCTGTCACCCTCAGACTGCGGAGAACCAGCTAAGATAGGAACACAGATAAGGAGGAGGCTGTGGCCAGAAATGAGTTGCCCCAGGGCCCCTTTGAGCCAGGAGGAGGTGAGATCAGGTCTCTGGGTTTGCACTTCACTCTCCTCCCCCAGAGCCTTCAAGCCAGTCTCCCTCCTAATCTCCCCCAGACACTGAGTCCCCTGGAGCTGTGCAACAGCTCAGCCAGCTCATTATGCTTCCTGAATGTTTTTGAAGAAAAAATGTGCAACATAATTACAGGCTCTGACCCCAAATGACTTTAACCCTGACAAGAGCACCCAAGACTCACTGTGGGAAAAAAGTCTGCCCTGTGATTGCTCCTGAACATAACATTTCCTTTCAGGAGCTTCCCCACCCCCCAATGCTACAGAAGGGTCCAGACTCAACAGGCCAAGCTCATGGAACAACTAGATCCCAGGCACGGAGCCACAAGCTGAGATGTTCTGAAGTCGTTAGAACTTGTACCCTTTCAAACCATTCCTCGACCTATCGTAATGACTCCTTCCAGAAACCTGAGAGGTCCCAGCATGAGGCTAGCTGGCACAGCTTTGTGCATTAAAGGGGAACAGAGGATTTGAGAGAAGTTTATATAAAATCTCTTCCAGCCAATTCCAAGGACTCCCTCATGCAAATCACCTGGGGGCCTTGCAAGGAATGCAGATTTCGAGACCTCACCCTAGGTGAGGTCTCCCTGGGGGAGACCAGGAATCCTCAGTTATGGGAATTCTAACACACATTCATGTTTAAGAACCACCACCTTAGAACAAGGACAGAAATGTCCATAAACAGCACATTCCAATTACAGGGCACTTACATGTGCCAGCTTACTCTGCTAAACACAATGCCTACAATTATCTCATTTATTCCTCACAATATTATAAGGTGGATATTTATCACTCTTGTACTTAGGTTTCTGCAGTTTCACTTCCAATGTCAAATCCAAAGGACTCTGGGCAAGCCCTCACCCACAGTATCCAAAATGAAACACCTTGTCATCAGAGCAAAACTCTCTCCCACCCTCTTCTGCCCACCTGTTCTGCTGAATGTTGCTATTCTCCTTAATTTTGGCCTTCAGTCTCTTCTCCCTCTCCAAGTCAGTGGTCCTCCACCTTTGTTGCACATCAGAATCTCCAGAAAAGCTTTTAAAATTCCCCAGACTCGGGGCACCTGGGTGGCTCAATCAGTTAAGTGTCCGACTCTTGGTTTCAACTCAAGTCTCCATCTCAGGGTCATAAGATTGAGCACTGCATCAGACTTAGCACTCAGTGCGGAGTCTACTTGAAGATTCTCTCCCTCCGCTCCTCCCCCAACTTGTGCACTCTGTCCTTCCCTCCCTCTCTCTCTCTCTCTCAAATAAATAAATAAATCTTTTAAAAAAAAAATTCCCCATGCTCACATTGCAACCCAGACAAATTATATCAGAATCTCCTGGGATGAGTCCCAGCTCCTCAGATGATTTCAATGCGCAGCTAAGGCTGAGAACCATTGCCTGGGTTTCTAATTGCACCTGGTGAGAGGCAAACCTACACCAGTAACCTGCCATCTCTTTCCAGAACATCAGACCCGTGCTTCCCCACTGCCTTGTAGATGCCTCCACCTATATATTCCATGGAACAACTCAACAAGGGCAAACCTTACTTAGCCCCGTATCCCCTATCAGACACCACATTTCTCCTGTGGTACAGAGTTCAACCATACACTCAAGACTAAGATAGAAACTGGAGACACCCTGGCCTCCTCCCTCCTCGGTCTGCTGTTGACTACATGTTCTCTTCGCCCACACCATCATGCCTCCTCAGAAAAATGCCATGGAATCTTGCATTCTCCCCTATAATCTATCAGTGTCTGTATGAATATTCAAATAATGATTCCATTGAGCGAGCCAGATTTTCAGCAAAGTGTACTCCCTGTCACTTGCTTTGTAGACTCCCTGGCACACTGCCACCTCCCCCAACACCTGTACCTAGTCTGAGAAACATATCCTTACTTCCCCCCGCCTTCCTTCCAGGCACCATGACCAGATGGTATCCATTTTCTCATACATTTCTGCCTTGGGAGAGTATTAAGCAGATTAAAGCTCAAATCACTGGTACAACATGGGAGTATTTTAGGTGATACAATGACAAATAATTTTCAATTTAATGATTATGATTTAATGACTATGTGAACATATTTTAGAAAAAAATACTGCTAATTACATCAAACCTGTAATTTCAGAATGCTGTAAAATTCCCTTTTGAAATGAATGTACTTTTTAATAAGGAGACTTTTTCAAAGTAAATAAACAGTAGTAAAGGTGGGGCAAAACTAAGAGGTGGCTTTAAATAATGACTTATCATTAGGAACACTGCCTCCTTGAACTTGATAAGCCTTGGCCTGCCTTTCCCAGAGTTGTTCCTTCCTCCACGACCCTTTTAAACTTTTAATTGTACTGTGGGCTGTCTGTGCTTCCCCTGCTTCAAGACGCTGAGCACCTGGAAGACAGTGACTGTGCCCACCCTGTCCCAGAAACCCTACCACTAGGAACCTTCCATCCCAACATGAGTTGTCACAGGCAGTGAAGTAGAGACCACACGGGACAGGTGGCACTATCCTACCCTCCACTGAGGAAAGTGCTAAGCGTGGTGGGAGAGGCAACGGCAAGAGAGACGTCAGATAAAACACCCTGTTCCCTCACCACTCCCCAGAAATTCCACTGCCCAGAAAAGCTTTGCTGACAGAGAAGGCGTGCCTTCTGGCCCAAAGTCGACGTGATCATCAGTCACCAAAGGCAGGCGACTGCCCTCTTTTAACACCTGCTAAACTTCCTGAATGATGCACATGCTGTGCAAAGATAAAAATTCAATGGCAACCTCACTAGTTATGCAAACAAGTTCTCTGGGGCCCTACCTTCAAGAGATTCCTAGTTACAGCTATGTCTCATTTTAGGGAAAGATTTTGTTGTGGCTTTTAATCCCAGAATCAACACTATGTACAGACTAGGGAGTAAGAAATGGAGAAAACTCTCAGCATTGTTTAATTACAGAGGCTACTTAGTAACAAAATAGTGAGTTTCCTTCCTACACGAAAATCATGATTTATAAAATTCACTTCACTCAGAACTTTCCAAAAACACTCCTGTGGGATATTTATCAAAATAAAAACTAGTACATATCCTTTGGCCCAGCAGCTCCATTTCTAGGATTCGTCCTACAGATCTACTCACAAGTGCCCATGACAGGTACCAAGATGTTCTGGTAATAGTAAAAGGCTGGCAATCATCCAAACATCTATTATTAGGGGACTAGTTAAATGAACTATGTCATATCCATTCAACGGAGTACAATGGAATGTTAAAAATGAGTAGCTCTATATGTACCAATGTACAATAAGATCTAAAATACATTAAAACTGCACAATATGCAAATCTATGCAAAACAGTGCATATGGCAGGCTACCAAAAAATATATAAATATGTATTTGCTGGCATGTGCATAAATTTTATCTGAAAAATTCACAAGAAATGGCAATATGTTGCCTCCAGTACAAGAACCTGGGATCAGGAGGCAGGAGGAATTGGAGGGACACTCGCATTCCTTTTTGCTCCCTTTTGAACTATGTACCACGTAAAGGTATTACCTACTTAGATAAACGTTTTTAAAAGAATATAGGTATGAATTAAAGTAAAAATGCCTTTCTAATTTTAGTTTATTTGCTCAACTAATAATCATTTTCTACACCTGACCCAAAGTGCAATAACGACACACTCCGTCAAGACTCTGTTAAGGTTTTAGTTCTATGTGCTTGACAGACAGTCTCCATGGCACAAAAACTGCCTCAGGCTAACTTAATCTGCCTGGAAATCTATCTAAAGTCTCACAGAAAGAGCCAATTCATAGATTTCGAAGTGTTCAAATTAGCCTAGAGTAAACGTAAGAGCACATCTGATAGCAAGATCATAGGAGCTTTGAAATCTACCTGTAATGTCTTTACAAACCATGTAAAATGGGGTTTATTTTGGCTTTTCTTTTGTGGCAGCAACAGGAGTCAAAGTGCAGCTACTGGCTTGGCCCAGAGAAGCCAGCTAGTTAACAAGGATTGGTCCAGAATTCCCAAGCCCCTAAAACCTTTGTCCATCTGGCAAAGAAAATGCACACACACAGAGACCACTCTAACCTCAGGAATCTCCTTTTTCTAAATATAGTAGGCAACTGCCCAGCCTCCAAGCTCACCCTCTGAAGCATTCTGTGCCTTCCAACCAAGGTGAAATGAGCCAGATGTAAACACGCCGTGACAGCTTCTGGCCCACACTGCCAAGCTGCTTTCCTCAATATTTCCTCTATTTCTCCACTCTGGGTGTCTACAGAAATGTGTAAATCCCAGTGACTCAAATTTGTAAACATTCCTCTGGCCACTAATGCTGTTTTTCTCACCCTAGCAAATGTGAGTTCCTTCTTGGTCCCTGATATTTGAGCTTGGACTAGTCTATTAAACAAAGGCAAAGCCCCATCCCAACTCACATTTTATCCCTAAGAAGCTAGAGCTCAGAAAACTTACTGGACAGGTCCAAAGCTAATTAGGACACAGCCAATTAATTGTAATCTCTGTCTCTCTCTTCCAATCCCTTTCTCTCTCTCTCTCTCTCTCTCTCTCTCTCACACACGATTTTTCCCCCATGTCATGGTTCTTGTAGAATCCATGTCAGTGTCTAATAGAAAGGCCTGTTCTATTTTATTTTTTAAGATTTTATTTATTTATTTGACAGAAAGAGAGAGAGAGAGAGCACAAACAGGGAGAGCAGCAGGCAGAGGGAGAGGGAGAAGCAGGCTCCCTAATGAGCAGAGAACCCGACACGAGGCTCGTGACCTGAGCCAAAGGCGGACACTTAACCGACTGAGCCACCCAGACACCCCATGGGCCTGTTCTGTTAAGGATGCTTCCAATTTAAGCAAAAGGTGAAGCTTCAGAAACATAATCTAACACACTCAAAAGAGCACAAGACAAACATAAACTGGCCATATGGATGGATGCAAAGGACCTAAACAATAGATCTCAAAGAGACTGTAAAACTTGGAAGTTGGCAACAATTCCATATCGAGGAAACTTCCAGGAATATTTAAGAATCCTGGGAATCTTTTCTCCCATGGAAATACTGGAACCTACACACAAAGGTAGGTGTGCAAATCATCCCTGCAGCACTTTCTCTAATAGTGAAAAACTGAGACAATTCAAATATCTTTCAAGAGGAGAGTAGGTAAATAAGCTACGGTATATCCACACAGAACTCTCTGCAGTCATTAAAAAGAATGTACTATGGGGCACCTGGCTGGCTCAGTTGGTAAAGCCTGTGACTCTTGATCTCAGGGTCATGAGTCCAAGCCCCATGTTGGGTGTGGAGCCTACTTTAACGAAAGGAAGGAAGGAAGGAAGGAAGGAAGGAAGGAAGGAAGGAAGGAAGGAAGGAAGGAAGGAAGGGAGGGAAGGAGAGAGAGAGAAAATAATGTACTATGTACAGGTACTGACATGGAAGAGCTCTAAGTCACAGTATTAATCAGAAAACCAAGACAGAGAATAATTCATATAGTATAATCCCGTTTATGAAGAAAAAAACAAATATGCACAGAAAAAAAACAAGAAAAAAGTTGGCAGTTGGTTAAGTCAGGAAAGTGGGTTCTTTACTCTGTATATTTCCATACTCTTTGATGCTCTTAAGAGAATGTATTCATGAACAAACTGTGTACTTTTTTACATCTTTACACTATAAGCTTAGGTCATTCATTCATTCATATTGTTAATTTCCCCCGCCAAACCTCATCATCCCCAAGTCCTCTTCATTTCAGAAAATAACACCATCATTCACATAACTGCTCTAGCCAAAACATTTGAATCATTCTTGACTTCACTCTTTTCTCTCAGAGCCTAAATCCTATTAAACAGCAAATCCTGTGGGCTCTACTTCAAAATACTACCATCTCCAGTGCTGTCACCCTAGCCCAAGCTGTCACTACCTCTTACCTCCCGTCACAACAGCTCCTAACTGGTCTCCTACCTCCATTCTTGCCCCACTGTATCTATTCTCCACAGCAGCCCAAGGATCTTTCAAAAACACAAAAGCAAGATCACATCACAACCTCCCATGGCTTCCATCACACTTAGAATGAAACACCGAGTCCTTTCTGGGACTCAGACCATGGCCTGGCTCCTAGACTCACTCCCTGTTCATTTGCCATCACTGTTCTCCAACCATACTGGCCTCCCTGCTGGTGTTCAACACCCCATGCACTCTCCCACCTTATTATGACTTCTGCCACCCTAAAAACCATGACTCTAGGGCTTGGAGGACATGGTAAGAGCAGAGCAGGACTCCATATTTGTTAAATGAAAGTATTCCTTTGACTGCAAAAAATCTATCATTTGAAATACACTGGATTATAATTTTAAAAACCAAAACCAAGGTCAGTCAGAAATTTAAATCTAGCAAAGCCACTTTGTTATTAGCTTCATACTGGAATCCCTACCTTGGCTAGCTTTTTTAAAATGCAATGGCCTTGACAAGATAACAAAGTCACCTTCATTAGTTCCTTTCCCCAACAGCTCAGTGGTGATTACTGTTCCTCCCTGACCCACTCTCATTTCATCAATTCATGAGGCTTGTGATTATTAGCTTAGTATGTGATCATTAACATAAGTATGATCAGAATTAGGAAGTCCAGCCTGGGGCCTCTGCCCAAAGGGATGCTGCCAGCCTTACAAAAGCAGAAACCTGAAATTCAGCCTCCTAAGAACCACCATCCTAAGCCCTGGCATTCTATAACTGAGCAGTCAAATGCATCTGAGGTTAAAGCAAATAGAAGCAAAAAAATCCCCAAAAGAGGACAAATGAGAAAATATATTGAGTGCTGTTCACTTAATCATCAAAGGTTTTATGGGACGAAGGGAAAAATCCAAGACATAAAACACTGCCCAACAAAAAAATCTAAACAGACATTACAGCAAAGGAAATGCACCAATGGTCAATAAGCACTTGAAAATATGCTCACCATCATTATCAACAGGGAAATGAAAATTTAAACCAGGATTAACCACTTCACA